TGAGGCGCCATGTTTGGCTCTAGGGGTACAAAATTAACAGTGACACAGGTCCCCTAGCTGCCAAGTAGCTTATAGGAAAGACAGTTCAAGCACCTACTCTGTGTAGAGCCCTTCTAGGTGCTGGAGGAGATAGGAAATTTAGCAATGACATGGTACCTCACCTCAAGCTCAGTCCAAGAAGAGGCTAGGACACCAACACAAATAGCTGCAGTAAAACTGAGTTCATTAGAGAGTAACAAAACAACACGGTATTATGTTAGGTCTGAATGACCTAAAAATTATACTAACCTGAAAGGTAACAAGCTTCATGGAGAAAACAGATAGCATTTGAGTAGTGTTTTCAAAGATAGCTAAGGGTTCAACAAGTAGAAAGTGGGTATTCCAGACATGAGCAGTAAGCAGAGATAATAAGAATAGTGTTCCAGGAGCAATGTCTAATCTGACTGAGGCATAGAGTACATGGAAGAGAATGAGAAAGGGTGCAAAGGGTAACATGAAGGGCTTTGAATATCAGGCAGACATTTTAACTTTACTCTGGAGGAAAGACTGGAGCAGGTAAGATTTGTGAGCAGAATGACAGAACTAGATCTGTATGGAAGAAAGCCTTTTCAGGCAGCGGGGTATCAGATGGTCTAGTGGGGAGGAAGATGGGAAACAGTAAAACCTGTTGAGCTAATACAGTAGTTTTTATCTGGGTGGGTGGCAATGTCCTGTATTAGATTGGCTGTAATAGGATTAGAAAAGTCAAATATAAGAGATGCTAAAGAAATAGAATCAACAGGACTATTAACTGATTGGATATTAAAGGTGACTGAGGGGAAAGCTGAAGATAATCCCCAAGGTTCCTAACAAGGCAGATTGGGTGAATGATAGCACCACTAACAAACAGTGAAGTCAGACCAAGCAGATTTAGGGGGGAAATAAGTCTAGTTTTATACATGTTGAGTTTTAGGTGACAGGTAGAAATGTCCTTAAAGCAACTGGAGCTCAGAAGAGAGATCAAGACCAGACATTTGGATTTTGAGGTTATCTTTCTATAAAGTAGAATGTGTAAGGAGAAATAAGACTCCAGAAGTGAAAATGTTGAAAGACACCAAGAGGGATAAGGAATGCCCTGAAGGCAATTGGAACTCCAAAGAGAGATCATCTCTTTCCTAGAAGAAGGGCATAAGTACCTGACCTTATCTTTGCAATGAACTGATGGGGCAGAGGGAGGAAATAAGTATTTATATAACACCTACTTGTGCCAGGCACTGTGCTACACATTTTTTACAAATATCTCATTTGATCCTCACAACAACACTGGTATTATCCTCATTTTATGGTTGAGGAAACTGAGGCAAACAGGTTAAGTGATTACCCCAGCCTCATACAGGTAGTAAGTACCTGAGGCTGGATTTGAACTCAAGACTTCCTGACTCTAGGCCCAATGTAATATTCACTACCACTGGTGAGAGAGGGAAAGATTAGGCACTATGATCTGCCTTTAGTCATGTAATAGATTTGCAGCAAAAATCTAGGTAGGGGTGTCCTGACATAAAAAGAAGATAAATGCCATTTTTTAGAATTCCTCCCAATTGGCATGTTAATGGCCAATAATGTTATTTGACACGAAGGACATATAGTAAAAAGAGCAACTTAGTCACAGGACACTGGTTTAAATTGTCTCAGATCACACTACAAGTCACTTAGGCTTTCTGACTTTTTTCCCATCTCAAAAATCAGAATAATATTTATATTACCTGTTTCACAAGGATGTTGTGAGAATCAAATGAAAAGGTATACATAAAGCATTTTTTAAACCTTAAAAGTGCCATATAGTGTAAGCGATTCTGGCACTTATCCCCTAGGGTCTCTATCACAGAGAGAGGGGGCAGCCACTACAGGGGCAGCCTGTACCACCCCAGTGAGCTAGGCAGTATCTTGGGGAATTGTGAGTGGATGTCCTAAGCCTCCTCTCCTTGATTCCACCCAACCTGGAAATATACTGACTGGAGTCTTCTGCTCCTCATGGACTCTTTGCATCCTATCACCCAACCAGCCCCTCATGACTCAACCAGTCCCTCATGACTCAACCAGTCCCTCACTACCACTTACCTCATTCCCCACCCCTAAAAGTCTTATCAACATTAAAGCTGAGGTTTGGGAGCTGCACTGCACTTTTTCACAAGGGGAGGTATATTAATCAACCAGGCCTCAGATTTTCACAACTAGCAAAGACTACCAATGTCAGGTCTCTTGCCTTGGGATCGTGCACATCCCAGATCAGAGACTGGATCCCCCTTCCTGAGGGAGAAAATCAAATTGATTCTCAGCTGGGGCCAGGAGCAGAGTTAGATTTGCTTCCTGGGAAGTAGTAACAACCCACCTACACAAATGAGACTGCTTCCTCTTCAAAAGCCTCAGTTCAAAGTTCAAGGCTACCTAAATACAAACTCTTCTTCTACCACTGCCTAATTTCTGTTCCCCATCCATGTAATCCTTGCATAGACCAGCCTATCCCCCCAACATTTACAAACTGGAACCCCAGTTTATTGAACCTCTCCCCACTCCTATTAGACCTGTTCCTCTCACATGCCTGCTCTGTCCCTGCAATCAGACACCTGACTCCCTCAGAAAACACTGCATCTTTTGTCACTTTCTCCAGCACTGAATGTGTCTTTTCTCCTTCACCAGCCTACACCAACAAAGGCTAAGCAAGTAAATAAACTTACTCTTTACTCTTCACTGCCACTTCTAGGCCTTCCCCTAGCATTATCATTTGGCAACCATTTCTCCTTCCAGGCTGACTCCATCCAGATATATTCAGATCTCACTGACAGTTATATACCATTCCCTCAAGTCATTCTCTTTCCTTTCTCACTTAGTACCTAGCTTCCCGTCTTCCCCACTCCAACCCCTTCCCTTATATTCAGGATCTCCAACATATATTGATGTTCCCCCAAACATCCTGACCTACTAGTTTGTCATCTTCCATGACCTGTACCCGCACACCAACTCAGCTACACACATGGGCATCTCAAACGCGATGTTATGGAAAAGATTTGGGAAAACCCCAAACCCTCCCCGCTCCCAAACTTGCCTGCTGAGAGCAACATCATCCTCCCAGTCACATAGGTTCACAATCTCAGTGTCATCCTCAACTCGTCTCACTCACCCCATCTATCTAATCTGTTGCTACATGTTGTTTCTACCTTTGCAACGTTTCTCAAATCCATCCCCTTCTCTCCACTCACACAGTCACCATCTTGGTGAAGGCTCTCATCATCTCATGCCTAAACTCTTATAATAGCCTGCTGGTTAGTGTCCCTGCTTTAAGTCTCTCCCCACCCTAGGGCACCCTCTACTCTGCTGCCAAAGTGATCTTACTTTCAAAAGCAGAATGTCTGACAATGTCCCTCCTCCCTATTCAATAAACTCCAGTGACTCTAGAATCAATAGAATCTTGTTTGCTTTTAAAGCTTTTCATCACAACTTGGCCCCTTCCTAACTTTCCAGTCTTCTTTACACTTTCTTTTCCTCCAAGTCTAAAATCTAGCAGTACTGGCCTTCTTTCTGTTTCTCAAAACATGACACTCCATCTCCATACTTTCACTGGCTAGAACAGTCTTCACCTGGCTTCCTTCAGATTCAGCTGAAATCTCACCTTATGCTGGAGTCCTTTCTCAGTCCCCACTCTAACAGCCTCATCTCCTTCTCCTCCTCCCCCACCACCCACTAGTGCCTTCTCTCTGAAAATACTTCCCATTTATACTATATATACCTTGTGTGTACACAGATGTTTTGCATGTTATCTCCTCCCATTAGAATGAGAGCTCCTCGAGGGCAGGACTATGTTTTTGCTTTTATTTCCCTAGTGCTTAGAAAAGTGCCAGGCATGCAGCAAATAAACGAATGAATGAATAAGCAATAAGTGCTTGTCGATAGTTTGACAGAAATAGGTCTATCCTTGATCTTATTGATCCAGAAATGTCATGAACCACAACCTAGTCTTCATCCACTTCTGTAACTTCCAGTCACTCCATCCCCTCTGCCTTCCCAGTCCATCCCTGCTCTGGCCTCACTTTCCTCTCCGTTGGTTATTTTGATCCTGTAACAAGTTCAATTTTATCCTGGCCTCCATCTTTTGAGCAGAATGAAATATACTATCAGACACAGACAATGTGATTTGTTTTACAAAAGAAAGTTCTCTGAGTGCTGAGGATGACAGGGTCGGAGTCATTGGTAGCTAATGTTTTTAAAAAAGCATCAATAATTATCTACAATATATATAGCAAGCAGCTGGAAACATCAGACTCAAGCAAAAAATTGTGACCTTATATTTGGGAGTTATCAATTGAGAAGCTAAATACATGAAAATATATGCAATTTCTATCAATAAAGAACCAAATCAAATGAAAATGCGTATGAAAACACTACCCTGGGAGAAGGAGGAAAAACACTAGACTTGCCATTAGAGGACTTCAGCTTGAATTTGTGATGTTACTGTGTGACTTTGGACAAGTCACCTAAATTCTCAGAGCCTATTAACTCATCTGTAAAATAACAGAGTTGGATTAGATCAGGATTTCTTGAATTCATGGACTTTTAAAAAATTTGTTAACTATATTTCAATACACTTGGTTTCATTTGTAGTCTTGCATATATTTATGAATTTAAAAATAATCTGAGGTCTGCAGTCTTCAGATTTGCCAAAAGGGTCCCTGGGGGCGAAAAGGGGATAAGATCACCCAGACTAACTGAGTTCTAAGATACCTTCCAGCTCTAAATCACATGATCTGGTTTGAAATGTTAAAAATTGAATCAAAGTGATCATCCTCATTCTAATTAGCTACTGCTTGAACAAGTAGACTAAAGGCAGCTCCTTCTTTCCCCAGGATGATAACTATTCACATCAAGCTGTGTAAATGTGTTTAAAGGCCTCCCAGACAGAGAGAGGGCTCTGGGCCAATAAGCACCTAATAAAGCCACAAAGTGATATAATAAAAAGCAGAGTCTCATTGTTGTTCATCCACCTTTCCCACGTTCACAGAAAGAGGAACTATTTATTTGTTGAAATTTACTCAAAAATTAATCTGCTTGCAACTACCTCTAAAGAAACTGCCAGTATTGAAGGCAAAGGTGGGGTGTGTCAATGGTTTGACACACTTTTTGCAGAGATGCCAAGAGATGGGCGGCATGCAGATTCTGGGTCCCATTTGTCCAAAATTGCTCTCACATATGATGGTTACTTCAGTAACTTGAACTTCCTCAAATGTGTGTTCACCTCCCCTTTGAAGTAAGGCCGAAGAGCTATGCAGGTGGCAATGTTTTCTGGCTGCTCCAGCCACAGCATATGGTCAATGTTGTTCTGTTTCAGGGTCTCGGCCAGCGCCACCAGGGCAGCCTCATCTGGAGCCTGTAGTAGAGTAGAAAAAGGGGAATGGACAGAAGAATATGAACACAGGTCAAATGGTTCATCCAGGGAGGGCTGCAGGGCTGTAAAACACTCTCCCTACTATCTAAAAGCAAAGGACCAGGTTATACCAAAGAAGATGGCCTAGGAAGACCTTAGGTTCTAATTCCAGCTTTGCCATTGATGTGCAAGCTGTCCTAATTGAGATTCCATTTCCTTTTCTATCAGAAAGACACAAATAAAAAAATGAACTCACTTCCTCTTCCCAGAAGGATTATCAGTAATTACTGAAATTACTACTGAATTACACAAGTTCCATGCCATCCATAATCCCAGATTCCCAGATCGAGCTGTGCAGAAGGACATTTAAAGAAAATATACTCACTTTCCCCCCTTAATTTACCACCCCAACAAAGAAAAATTTAAGTGGGGTCCTTTTCCAAAATTTGCATAGGGAAAGTCACCCCCCTGAGCTCTCACTCATATATTTATTGGGAGGTAGGGGAAGACAGGGATTGGAAGAGTAGACAGGGAGATTAAAAGAGAGGAGAGATTTATGGAAAGATTAGTCAGAAGCACAACAAACTCCATCTTCAGAGGTTGGAGTACGAAGGGGAGAATAGAGGACCAGGAGAAAGGCTAATAGAGAAAAAAGTATAAAAGGATAGGGTGGGGAGAAATAGACAATTATCCATCATAACTGCAAATCTGAATGGGATAAACTCACCTATAAAATAGAGGAGAGTAGCAGAACAGATTAGAAAGCAGAATCTAAAAACATGTTATTTATAAGAAAACGGACTTTATGAATAAAGTTTTAAACAAAGTTACTACAAGGGAGCTAGAGCAAAATCTATTAAGCTTCATCTGAACTAAAAAAAAAGGCAATAATAAAAGCAGATGATTAAAAGAGATACACACAGGAACTACATTATGCTTAAAGGCATTACAGACATATAATAAATATGTACCAAATGGCACAGCATCTAAATACTTAAAGGAAAAGCTAATCAATTTATCGTCTTTTTTTTTCCTTTTTAGGCAATTGGGGTTAAGTGACGTGCCCAGGGTCACACAGCTAGTAAGTGTCAAGTGTTTGGTCTGAGGCCAGATTTGAACTCAGGTCTGCCTGCCTTCAGGGCTGGTGCTCTATCCACTGCGCCACCTAGCTGCCCCAAAGCTAATCAATTTAGATAAAGAATCAACAGTAAAATTGTGATTGAGGAATCTCAATGTACCTATGTCAGACCTAGATAAAACTAACCAAAGAATCTGACTAGAATTTTAGAAAAATTAGATATTTTGGCAATTCTATAGAGGATAGTTTGGAGTGGTCATGGAAGATGAGGGGGTGAAAGAGAGTAGGGAGACCAATTAGGCCATTGTAACAGTTTAAGTGAGAAGTGATGAATTTCTGAATTAGTGTTATGATTATGTGTGAATGGAGAGAAGATGACTGGTGTGAAATATGTGGAGGGGGCACTGACAATTGTTAAGTGTCTTTTTTTCTGATATTGGATTATTCTCTTAATCTAAAGTATAGGTCTGCCCATATGTGTCTCCTGTTCAGGAGGCTTCAGTGGATCTCTGCTGTGGATTTTATCTCTAGAATAAAATACAAACTCTTCCTCTTGGCATTCGAAACTATCAGTATGGTACCAATCTATCTTTCTAGACTCATGTTCAACAAACCAGTCATACTGTCCCACTTGTTATTTCTTAAATTTGTCATATAATTTTGCTCCACCATGCTTTTGTTTTGTTGTTTTTCTTTGTTTGTTTGTTTTTTGGTTAGGCAATGGGGTTAAGTGACTTGCCCAGGGTCACACAGCTAGTAAGTGTTATGTGTCTGAGGCCGGATTTGAACTCAGGTCCTCCTGAATCCAGGGCCGGTGCTCTATCCACTGTGCCACCTAGCTGCCCCTCCATGCTTTTACACAAGCTGCCTTGAATGCCTGGACTAAATGAGGATCCTTTGATTCCTTCAAAGCTCATCTCAGGTACCACCTTCTTTGAGAAACCCTTCCTGACACCCCCTGGTAACTTAATTCTTTCTTCACTTCTCTGTATACATTTGTAACTATCCAAAAGAATGTAAACTCTGTGAAGCCAGGTATTTCTGTATCCCCCATCACCTAGTACAGTGCCTCACAAAGGACAGGTATTTAATAAATGCTTGAATTCTTGGACCCAATGTCCCCTCACTGTTCATCCTTTTTTCCAAATGCCAACCAGATTACTGATACCATTTGCCTTCTTCACTCTTGTTTACAAATTTCAGAATGACATAGGAGAAAGTCACATTGTGCTGACTAGGTCCACTAAAAATTTATGCTATCATATATGTCCTCACAAGTACACTGAAAATTCTTCTCTTTACTAACTGTACAGTAGCTATTCTTTCTCTATTCAAATGACATATAAAACCCTTTTTCTTTGTCCTCTCCCTGAAATAAGGCCATTATGGAGAGCTACTTCTCTTCCCCAATTCTACACTTAAATCACATCAACATCATCCCCTATCCTCCAGTCTTGGAGCAACACTTATCTCCTTGCCAACACCACCTTTGCAAGTGAATCCTTGATTCTATTCCCTCCAAGTCTTTAGGGACCTTTGATAATCCTCTCGGCCCAATTTTCAACAGCTCATCTACTGACTTCCCTACTGCTCACAACTATGCTCAGGTCTTCCCCATCCTTAAAAACTTTAACCGGACCCTACCACTCCTTCAAGCTATCAATCTCTCTCCCTTTCATAGTTAAACTTATTGAAAAAGCTGTCAACACTCACTGCCTCCATTTTTTTCCCCCATCTCATTTCATTTCTCATTCCTTTGATGTCTGACCTTGTGGTTTCGACTCCTCCATAAGCTACTCTCTCCAACCCTTACCAACGATCTCTTTATTGCTAAATCCAATGACCTTTCCTCAGTTCTCACTGTTCTTGACTTTTCTCAGTATATTATGCTCTTTACACTAATTATAATATTGTTTTCTAGTGGGTTTTTTTTCTAGGTTCTGTCCAGGGGCTCTCCTCTTTTCTTTATGAGATTACCAACTTCCAATAGTTCAATTATCTTTTCCACGCAAATTTACCAAATTTACATTCCTCGCCCTAGTCTCTCCTGAACTCCAGTTCATTATCTCAACGCTTACTGCACTATCTCCAATGAGATGTTCTATATGCACAAGCTCAAAGGTCCAAAACTGAATATATATTTCCTTCTGAACATAAGAAGTGCCCTTTTCTCCTAAATTCCTTGTCGGGGTTATCACCCTTTTCCCAATCACCTAGGGGAGGTGTCCTGGCGTCTTCACTCTCATCGCCTGCCCTGCCCCCAATTCCACGTCAACAAGTCTTACTGAATCCCCCCCCCCCCCGCCCCCATCTCTCACATTCATTCCTTTCTTTCCACTCGCTCTCTAGCAACTCCTAGTTCCTCAGCCCCTCGGGTATCAGTGCTTTACCGCTCTCAACAATCACGATTTCGTTTCTATCCTGCATTTAATCATCTGAGAACATGCTGTTTGCCTCTAGCAAGGACTTAGACGAGGACGATCCCTGCATCCTCAGGCCTGGAAAAGCATTAGGGGCTAAATTAAATGCTCGGTCCTTGAGCTGGGGGCGTTCACCGCACAAGCGGACTTGCGTCCCACAAACCACTGCCCCTCCAAGGCTCCGGCCCCGGGGCAGGGGCAACCACGGCCGCCGTCCGAGCCCACCCCAGGACTGACAGTGCAGGGAATCTAAGCCCCCGGTTGCTCTCCCTTCCCAGCACAGGCCTGAGAACGGCGTGAAGCCAGTCTCCGCCTTCTAGGCGATCGCCAAGCCTCCAAAAGAAACCCCAGCCCTTCGACCCTTCCGCTTCCGGCCCCAATGCGACCTTTCCTCCCGCCCCATTCAAAGGATTCCGCACCTCAAGGACCACTTTGCGCATGCTCCCCAGATCCTGGAGATAAGCCGCAGTATTTGGGTGGTCGCGGTGGGCATGCAAGGCCGCGATGGCCGCATGACACCCCTGTGCCACCAGCGCTCCTAACGGCCACGAGAACGGAGCCCGCGCCAAGTCCCCTCGCAGAACCAGATACTGCACCAGTGGCTGAACTGCTTCAACGGGAGCCGCCATCTTCCCAACCGATGGAAAGAGTCGTCGAATCCTCAAGGCATGCCGGGAAGAATGGGGAGGAGCCTATGTCCTGGGCGCCGCCATCTTGCTGTACGGTGTGCGCTAGGCACGCCGGGACGGATCGAGCCTGTTTTGAAGTTGCTGTCGGCGGGAAAGCGGTTCGTTTGGTTCTGAGAGCCGAGAGGAGTGGGACGTAGCCGGTGGCGTAGGAAGCTAGACCCGCTTCGAGACGACGTCGGCGCTTCTGGATCAGCCTGAGAGGCGGCATATAGGGGGGAAAAAGGCCTGGGCGTGTGGAGTAGCGAAGATCCAGCTTCAAAACCTACTTCTGACCCTTACCGACTGACTGCCTTGTTACCTTTGCGAATCCCCGCCGATCTTCCTTTCTAAGATGGGACTAACAATACCTGTAATAATTGCATACGGCACTTGAAGGTTTGCAGATGGCTTTTTTTCCCCCCATTTTGTCTTTTAATCCTCACAGTAATTTAGGGGTCCTATTATCCCAATTTCACCACTGGGGAAACCGAAGCTCATAGAGATTACGTGATTTGCCCCGGGTCACGAAGCCAGTAAACGCCCAGAGGTGGGATTCGATCTCTGGTGCTTCAGACCTCAAGCCCAGCCCCCCATCCCCTACACCCCACTGCCTCCCAGGAGTTTGGGCTCCAGAATCTGGTACTCCATCCCCCTGCCACCCTTCAGCTTCTCACCAGGTCGTGGTGAGCTTCAAATGAATAGATAGCGTTTGTAAAGTGCTGTGTAAATCTTAAAGTCCTATTTAAATGCCAGTATGGTGATAATTTACATGAGCTGGGTACCTGTCCGTACCTGAAGGAGGAATGTTATCTTACTTTCCTTTTCTCCGCAAGGAGTTCGGGGAGCATTCACTGTCATCTACTCTAGGTATCTTCAAAACGAACAAACCAACCTTTGGGATTCGGAAAGCTGATGGCATCTTCCCAGAAACACGGTGAGTCTGGAGGAGGACATTCATCCTGTTTTGGTCTGGGCCCAGTTTGATTATAGGATATTAGAACTCGAAAGGACCGTAGAGAGGATCTGGGTTAATCCTCTCATTTTAAAAGTGAGACCATAGAACTAGTATGGGGTAGAGGTGAGATCCTAAGCCCGGGTGCAATCAAATGAACCTTTCAATTACATTCCTCTGTTTTAAGAATCCCCCCAATTAAGTGCTGACCCAAGGTGAAAGCTAACACTGTTTCAAAATTGTGTTGCTGATGTGTGATACATTCCCCCTGATGTTTGGAGCAGAATATTAATTGCTAGAAGCTTAAGCAGACATTGGAGAGGTCACAAATGTTGACCAAAAGCTTTAAAAGCACAAACATTGTGTCTTAGTACTCCTTGATGCTTTAAAAAAAACAGAAACAAAAAAAAAAAGCAAAACACTTGTGGCATGTTGTGCATTTGTTATTGGCCCCCTCATTTCTGTCCAGTACTGGTTTCTTTTCCCTCTTTATTCCATAAATATTTGTAGACAGTGTATGTTCCTTATTGCTTCTGGTGAAATGTGCTCTTTATTGAAAATGTCTAGCTTAGATGTCGTTGTGGCTTTTGTTAAGTATGTATGCTTCATGGATCCCAGTTCAGCATTTTTGGAACTAGAGTTTTGGTTCCAAGTCTTTACCTTCCCTAATATCCAAGTAATGTATGGCTCCTTGACCCAGGTGGTTTCTCTATTCCATTATTGGTTATGAGACTAATTAAACTGCTTCATACTACTACAGATATCACAGCTGGTTAAGAAGCTTTGCAGATGTACATCTCAGAGAAAAATAACAATAATCATAATAATAATTCTGTATCTGAGTGGCTAGTAAATAAAAGTTTTTGTGCATTTTAGCTTGGCCTTTGTTCCATTCCATTGTCCACACCCCTAAAAGATGAGTTAGTTTGTGCACCTAAAGCTTCCAGTCACCAAGGAGCCTGGGTTAGAGACTTTGGAGGTCTAAGTGGTGTTCCATCAGCTCCAGCAGTTTAATTATCTGTATGCAAATGAGTTCCAAATCTCCATTTTCAGCCTCATTCTTTGTGAGCGTAGCTTGCTTGACATCTTGACTTTAATGTTTCCTGGGCATCTTAAACCTTTCCAAAACAAAACTCATTTTCTTTCTCCATAAACTCAGCCCTCTTCCTAATTTCTTTTTTTCTTACAATTTCCACCATCCTTTCAGTCACCCAGGTTCTCCACCTAGGAGTCATCCTCAACTCTTCACTCTCACTAATTTTCCTCATTTTCCCTCTCTATCCAGGCAGTTTCCAAATTGTATCAGTTCTTCTTGTACAGCGTCTCTTCCATCCATCTCTCTCTCAGCTTGTGCTCCACAGTCATCCTAACTCAGGCCCTCACCACTTCTCACCTGGACTATGCAGTAACATTATGGTATTATTCTTGTATCCAGCCTTTCCCCACTATGCTCCATCCTCTACATTGCAGCCATGTAGATAGTACTAAAGCACAGGTCTGATCTGGATAGCTTCAGTGTCTTCCTATTTTCTCTGGGACAAAATATAAACTCATCCATTTGGCATTTAAAGCCCTCCACCATTTGATTCCTGTCCATTTTCCAGGTTGATTCTATATTACTCTTCATGCATTCCACATTCCATCTGAAGTATCCTACTTAACTGTCCTCTAAAAATGACATTCCATCTCCTTCCTCTGTGCTCAGGCCTTTGCACACTGTTTTCCCCTCCACCCAATCCCTGAAATGTTTCCCCACCTCACTTCGGTTGTTCTTGGATGCTTTCTTTTGATTCCCCTTACGTTAGTGCCCTCTCACATAAAAAAGTGATTTTACATACATTTGTATTTATCTACTTACGTGTTTTTCTTCATTAGAGGGTAAGTTTCTTTCTGCCTCAGTTGCCTAAGCACCTACTAGAGCATCTTGCGTAATTGGTACTTAATACATGCTTTTTGAATTGAATAGATATGCACTCCATTCATGGAAAAGTAACTCTCAGTGCATGCTCTTTTGGCAAGAGAGTAACAACATCTTCAAAACTGAAGGAGTATAGTAAAACTTCATGAAAACTGGGCATCACTTAGTTATTTTGAAATTGAAAGATAATTTTTTTCTTTTTTTTTTTTTTGTTCCCCAGGGGTTGGGAACCTGTGGCCTTGAGGCCACATGGGGCCTTCTAGGTCCTTGGGTTTGGCCTATTGATTGAGGGGATTTATTCTGTGAAGTTTGGATTCAGTCAGAGGGCCACATGTAGCCTTGAGGCCAAAGGTTCCCTACCCCTGTGCTAGGCAATTGGGGTTAAGTGACTTGCCCAGGGTCACGCAGCTAGTAAGTATCAAGTGTCTGTGGTCTGATTTGAACTCAGGATCTCCTGACTCCAAGGCTGGTACTCTATCTACTATCTCTATCTCTATCTACTGTGGCACTTAGCTGCCCTGAAAGATAATTTTTTTTAATAGTGGATAAGAAATTTCTTCAAGGATAAAGGGCACATATATAATCCTTATTTTAGTGAAATAATTGTTCCAGAAAAAGCTCATAAACCAAATTGTCCAACATTGATTTCCATTAAATATAGATCTTAGATTTAGAGCTGGAAGGGGCTTAGAGGTCAACAAGTCCACCCCTCTCGTTTCCCCAGAGGAAGAAACTAAGACCTGGAAATGTTCAATGATTAGCCCAAGGTTACACACATAGGAAGTGGCAGAATTAGAATTTGAACCAAGATCCTCTGACAGACAGATACCTTCTGTTGATAGAGGGAGAAAAACCTTTAGGTGTTTAAAAAAAGTGAGAATGCAGCAACTCTAAAGATCACATTTTTTTTTAAAGGAAAATTTTTTTTTGAAAATAATCGCTTAATTTTTTTTGACACAATCCCTTCATATCTCTTAGGTGTATTGTTACTTGGTAACACTGGTGTTATTAGGCTGGCGAAACCAGGCATTCTGGTGGGCAATAAAATACTTTCACACTAGTTTTTGTTTTTTCTGAAAGTCTTTTCACTCACAGGTGTTTTATATCAGCTGGAAAGACTGGAGGCTCGTGATCAGAGATCAGCCAAGCCACAAGACGAGCACCAGGGACTGCAGGATTCGGAAACTGACTTGGAAGCAAAGATCCGCAAACTGAGAAAACTTCGGGATGAACTGAGGACTAAAGTGAAGCTACACGAAGCCAGTGTGAGTAGAGTTTAATACTTAATAGTTATTCTTGGGAGAAGGACATTAAAAAACAAGAAGGCAAGTGGGCATAGTAGCTGTGGGGCCAGATTTGGAATAAGCAAAACTAGTGTTCATCCTGCCTCTTGACACATGATTGTGTGACCCTGAGCAAGTTACTGAGCTTCTCAGTGCTCAAGACTGTGTTGTTGTGGAGCTTGGGCCAACCAGCATTAAATGAAAGTTACTGTGTCAGGAAAATGAAATCACCGGTGCAGATTCCTCCCTTCCCCCCCTCCCCCCCCAAAAAAGAATTCAGGGTGCCAGTAGTGGTATTAAAGCTTCAACCTCATTTACAGATCTGGATCTTGAGTCTCATAGAATAGATTTTATATCTTATACTGTAATCAAAAACTAAGGACTTGTCTTATGTAAGTGATGCATTTTTGATATGTATAAAAGCAAGCTTATGAAATTGTTTTTATCTACTCAAAAACTAGGTGCCTGAAAATTCTGAAGCACACCCATGCAGCTTTTATGTATGCCTGACACTTGTTAAGCATTAATGAAGTATTTGATGAGTTCTGCACAAAAGCTGTTTTAATTTTGTTATCAAAGGCACCCGAACTCTTTACAGGTGAATGGAGTTTCCTAGGCCATCCCTAGTACCTGGAATGTATTCATTCCTCACTTCTATATTTCCACATGCCCCCCTTTTTTTTCTTCAAGGTTTAGCCATTCCATGAAGCTTTCTCTGATTAAATTTATTTTTCCCCATCTTCCCACTCTTTTTTCTCTTCCATCTTCAGATTTTTGTGGAATAGTTTGCTGGCTCTTTCCTTTATAGCACAATAAAAATTTAAGTGCCTACTATAAGCCATGTACTGTCCTAAGCCCTGAAGATGCAAAAAAAAGAGGCAAAACACAGTTCCTGCCCTCAAGGAGTTCACCATCTAACAGGGGAGACTACAAACACATATGTCCAAACAAGTAATTTACAGAATAAATAGGAAATGATTAAAAGAGGAAGGGCCCAGGAATTAAGGTAGGGAAAGCCGTGCTGTAGACAATGGGATTTTAGTTGGAATTTAAAGGAAGCCAGGAAGGTCAATAGTGGGAGCAGAGGAGGAACAGCATTGCAGGCATAGGGAACAGCCAGAGATTGTGCCCTGAGCTGGAAGATGGTGATGGAGTGTCTTTTTTGTGGAACAGCCAGGAAGACAATGTCACTGAGTCCAATAGTACTTGGTGGGGAGCTAGGTGTTAGACTGGAAATGTATGATGGGTCCAGCAGAACAGTTTGTATTTGCTCTTACAGGAGGGAGCCGCTGTAGTTTATGGGGAGTGGAGGGTGACGTGATCTGACCTGCAAAATAGGAAAATCATTTTGGTGACTGAATAGAGGACGGACTAGAGTAGGGAGAGACTTGAGACCCACCAGCAGGTTACTGCAATAATCCAGGCCTGATATGATATGGGCCAGTACTACAGTGGTGGCAGTGTCAGAGAGGAGAGAAGGGGGCATATTGGAGAGATGTTGCCAAGGTGAATTCTACAGGCCCTGGTAACAGCTTGGATGGGAATGAAGGTAAGGGGTGAGATAGTGAGGAGTCCAGGAAGCCTTCTTGGTCATGAGCCTGAGGAAGAGGGAAGATAGTGTTGCCCTTTGCAGTAGCAGAGAAGGTTGAACAGGGGAGAGGTTAAGGGGAAAGATAGTGAATTTGGTTTTGGACATGTTGAATTTAAGATATTTACTGGACATCCAATTGGAGATGTCTGAAAGGCAGCTGGAGAGGCATCATTGGAGGTCAGCAGAGAGGTTAGGGCAGAGTAGGTAGATTTGAGAATCATCATCATGGAGGTGGTAATTAAATCCATGGGAAGTGATGACGTCACCAAATGAGGTAGTGTAAAGGGAGAAGAGAAAATGGCCCAGGACAAACCCTGAGGGGCACAGTTAGAGGGTGTGATCTGGATGGAGGAGGATCCAGCAAAGCAGACTGAGATTTAGCAATAGCTTGGTGACTAGACTTGGGAGGTAGCAGGGGCCTGGGTTTATATCCTACCTCTGACCCGTAGTAGTTGTGTGATTGTGGGTAACTCATTTAACTTCTGAGCCTCACTTTCCTCATCTTTAAAAGAGGGATAATACCTATATTACCTAATTCACAGGGATGTCGTGAGGATCAAATGAGTTCATATGTAAGGTGTTTTGCAAACCATAAAGTACTATGAAATGAAATGCTGTGAAAATTGATTACCACCTTGTATTATGCTTACCTCTTTACGTTATCCTCCCACACCCCCATCGAGTGTGAGCTTCTTGAAGCCACTTTTGTTATCTTTGTATCTCCAGTGCTTTGTGCAGAGTAGGCACTAAAATATCACTCGAGTTGTCTTTTTAGCTATGTTCCAAACTTCTAGAAGGTAAGGATTGTCTATTTTCTGTATCCTCTTTAACGCTCACCACTGTGCCTAACACATAATAGGCACTGTGCAGTTTTTGAATGAGTACATTAATCTATTTTGCAGGCCAGAATACCCATCACTAACCTAGAACCCTACGAACCATTGAAGAACAGTGAGGAGAATCTGGAAATGAAGTTGGAGAAAGCGAAAGCTTTCTTTCAGGCATTCCATTTAACGGGTATTTATTGGCCCACCTACCCCTATCCTGGCACATACCCTCCCTGTCTGTGATCAGTGACCTTGGACAAGTCATTTCACCTGGGTGGGCTTCTTTTTCATCATCCTCAAAAATAAGAATAGGGAAAAATAGCTGAGGCAGAGAGAAGGCAGGGTTTAGGTTAGTTTTCCTATGAAGTCCTTTCTAGCGGTAATATTGCTATGATTATACTGTTATAATCCTAAATGCATTTTATCAGGATTTGAGTGTCTGCCGTGTGCCTGCAACTAATGGGATATCTATGGGCCGCTTTGTCGCTCCTGATGGTTAGGTTACCCATTAAAATATGTCAGCCTCTTTGTTCATGTAATCATTCTGTCATTTAGTTTATTCATGATATACCCAGCCCTGCTCTAATTTTGACTTAGTATATTTCATTGAATAAGTTTTTTGTCTCCAGGTTTCAGTTTACTCTATAACATGGACATTCTGTCTCTTTTCTGAGTCACAAGGAGGACATAGAAAAATTCACATGTGGAGTATTTTGTATTCCTCAGAGGCAGAAAGGTTACAAATATTCCTGTTTTCACATTGACTTTGGTCTTTAGGAATAGTCTGGGTTATTCTTCCTCTGCAGGTCTTCTCTTGATTTTGAGTCCTCATTTGGATATAGTTGAAACAGAATCAAAAGGCAGGAGTAAGAACCCATAATGTCTACTGAGAGATCTCATCTCATCCTTCATCTCAGGGCTCAGTGGCAAATTGACCACAAAAGGGGTCTGTATCTGCTTCAGCACTGCTTTTGAGGGAAACATCTTGGATTCCTATTATGTGGATCTTATCATCAAGAAACCACTTACAATACATCGCCATTCAGTTCCAGTCTTCATTCCCCTGGAGCAGATAGCTGCAAAATACTTGGAGACTAATTTTCAACACTTCGTGTATAGTCTCAGCGAACACCTAAATGCATATTCTGGAAGAAAATACCAGGCAGATCAACTTCAGGTATGTGTATCCTGGAGCCAAAGTTGTATATGACCTGTTTTGTGAGCCCAGGAGAGCCAAAATTAGAAAGTGAGATCTCTATATTTCCTGTATTATTAGTAGGTCTCAATTTGCTTGAGAAAATGAGCCAATCCTGTGAACAGGAATTCTTGGTGTTAAGGAAGCATTTCTCTACATATTTCTCCTTTGGGATTTATTAGGGGAGTTGGTTTGTCAAAAGTCATACTTGATTTTTCCTTGTGGTTTGAAGGTGACCTTGAATTCCTCAAAGCCAAAGACTACAAGCTTTTAAGGTAGATAGAATAATTAATTGTGGTAGATAATGGAAAGAAAGCAAAACTATTTAAGTCATTTTGTTTTCTCTGCCAAGGACAATATGTACTCTTTGGACTAGAAAGGACGGGGAAAAAATCATTACTAGGGAGTGGATACCTAAGATGAGTAAAGGAATAGTAAGAGGGTCCTCCCATTGATAAGTCAAGTCACCAGGTCCAGACAGACTTCTATTCCAAGGTACCAAAAGAACTGACAATTATGATTGTTGAATACCTGTCAGTGATCTTCAAAAAGAGCATGGAAAAGAAGAGAAAGGGCAGATGTTAGGATTTCCTGAAAAGGGGGAAGAGAATAGAGTCTGTAAGCTCTAGGCCAGTCAGCTTAGCTTTGCTTCTTGGCAAAACTCTAAAAAGTTTTATGAAAGGAATGATTAGTGAATATCAGGAAAAAGAAGTGGTAATTGCAGAGAACCAGAATGACTTTACCAAAAAGAGGTACTATTAGACAAATCTAATTCTCCTTTTTGACAGGGTTACTTATAGAACGGGACTGCTGTAGATACAATTTACTGAGGTTTCAGGAAAGCATCTGATGAAGTCTTCCATGAGACTAATGTAAATGAGCAGAGGAGGTGTGGTACAAACCTGGGCCTGGAATCAGAAAGACCTGAGTTGAAATCTGGCCTCAGACCTCGACTAGCTGTAAGACCTATAGCAAGTTACTTCACTTCTGTTTGCTCAGTTTTCTCAACTGCAAAATGAGAGTAACAACAGTACCTATACCTCACAGGGTTGTTGTAGGGATCAAATGGGATAAGTTCTAAAGGGCTTAGCACAGTACCTGGCACTATATAAATGCATATTCCCTCCCCTCCTCTCCCTCTTCTTCCCAAACAATAGTATACCTAGGTAGGTCTGGAATTAGTTGAATAGCTAGAACCACAGAGTAGTCATGAATGGTTCTGTGTCATCTTGGAATGAGATCTCTAGTAGTTTTGCCCTAGGGAGGGAGCTATAAGTGGCCCTGTACTGCTGTTTAACATTTTTATTAATGACTTGGAGTAATTGAAGGGAGGAGGGAAAATACTCACTAGGTTTGCAGATGGCACAAAACAAGGTGGGAGAATTAGATGTTTGGGTTAGGATCCAAAAAGATCCTAATGGGTTAGACAAACGTTAGGCTGACTCAAATCATATGAAAGTTAAGAAGGATAAATGGAAAAGTCTTGCACTTGAGTTGAAAAAAGAGACTTCACAAGTACAAAATGGAGGAATCATGTTTCTCTGAAAAAGATCTGGGAGTTTAGTAACTGCAAGCTTAGTGTGTCAACAGAAAAGTGGGGTCCAAATCAGCTAGTGCAGTATTGGACTAAATTAAGAGAGGCCTGGCTTCTGAGAATAAGGAAGTAATAGTTCTATTGTATATCTGCCCTGACCAAACCAATGTTTTGTAGTATTCTATTCTGTGTATAGTAGTTTAACAAGGGTATGAACAAATTAAAAGGCAACCAAAAGGGTGAAGGACCTTGAGTCTACGTCAAATGAAATCAGTTGAAGGAATAAGGAATGTTAAATCATGAGAAAAGAAAACTCAGGGAAATATAGGATCTTAGACTTAGAGGGCATCAAATCCACCTTCTTTATTTTATAGATGAGGAAACTGAGCCCTGTTGAGTTCTTACCCAAGGACAATACAACTTCAATAGCTCCATGGATATAGACTGTGCCTCCTTTGTGGTTTGTTGGGGGGTCTTTGGGGGTGCCGCAGCCAAAATATTCCTCACCCTGTCGGCCCCCTGGCTAGTACAGTGACAGACATATAGCCCAACGTGGGATCGGGTGAAAGGCAGAACAGAAATCATTAAATTTATTAAAACCTTTCCAACCCATTTGCTCCCCGATGTCACCTTGGCTTATACATTCTCATTAAGCTGTGATTTTACAAAATCTTAGAATTCAAAGGGATCTCAGAAACTAACTGGCTCGACCTATAGCTGAATAAGAACGTATTCTATAATATAACATCCCCAAGGAATAGTCATCCAATCTTTGCTGGAGGATTTCCAGTAAAGCAGAGTTTACCACCTACCAAGGTGGCCCTTCTGGCTAGCTCTAATTGTTTAGAAGGTTTTCCTTATGTCAGGCTTAAATATGCCTCTCTGCAACCTCTACTGCTTCTGTAGTGAATTACAAGGGACAAAGCAAAATAATTCAATTTATTAATTTTTACTACTTTAAAATAAACTTAATTTGCAACATGCCTCTTTGGCTTCAATGACTTGTTTTACCTGATTTGGTTTTGGGTTCGCAAGACTTTAATATCTATTCCTAAGTGTACGTTTGGTCATTGGTCCATTTGTCTAGATCTAACCTTGATTATTGCCTCTAAGTTTTTGGTGGGGTTTAAATCAAGTGAGATCCCAGGCCCCTGAAACATATTTATCTTATCTCTTAGTAAATTCCTAGCCTTTCATGGTGTGTGGTTCATGATGCAATATTCCATCTTCATTTGGAAATTTCTATAATTTTGGAACAATTCTGCCCAGTGCCTCAAAGCATTTATCAGAATTAAGCATTCACTTAGTGGAGCCAAGACTTCTGGAAGAAAAAAATCCCCAAAACATTTTTTTGGGTGGACATTTTCCAGTTCAAAGATGCCTAGGTCTTACAGGTTCACTTGCACTTTTGACAATGGTTTTTCTATAGCCTTAAATGAAAAGTGAGTTGCATCATTGAAAATTACCTTTTTCCGTTGAGCTCTGGTCTTTTTATCAGGTAAAATTACCTTTTTCCCATCTTTAGGATGCTAGTCTTTATATTGTCATGCCCATAACTAGTGTTTTATATTCCTAGCAATCACTTAAAAGCATTCTGGAGTTTTTTTTTAACTGGTATTCTAGATGTTCTTCCAACTTTAAGAAGCTTACATCACACTGTAGAAGAATCATAACTACAGCTCAGAAGGTCATAATTAATTTAGATGTTTTGAAGCAATAATTTCAGTTCTTGACATTGTTTTTTTCATTTTTAATAACACTTTCCTTTGTTCTTCAATACTGTTTCACTCTGGACTTGAATTATCCTCGAACCACTTGACTTCATCACACCAACATCTCTAACAGTAACTGAAGAATGCTCTTTAGGAGCTACAATTTTTTGCACATTTCCTTGGAGGAATATCTATTCTTAAAAACTATAGAATTAACAACACAAAAAAACACATACATTACACAAAATCCATCACGCAGCTGACAGAGAACTAACTAAAAGTAGGGAAACTAGCTCAATGCAGCTTAATCTGGTCAGGGAAAAAAACTAGTCAGACTAGTTTCAGTAGAAACATACATGCATGATCCTTGTCAAAAAAATGTAGCCATATTGAAATTATAGCTTGTCCCTAGTAATTTGGATACCTCTATAGTGTCTGCCTCAATGAAACTGTAGATTCTTGAAGTCTTCGGCCTGATTTTTTTCCACCTATTTCTTGGTCCATAGAATCACATTTCTTTTCCCACTGAAGATAGCTAAATTTCATATTGGCACAGGGATGCTATTCCAGGAGTAGACTAAAAATATTCTTAGATTTTTACCATTGAACTTTCCTATTCTTCATCTTGTCTGTACACAGAAATGGAGAAAATGATTTTTGTACTTTTGAGAAGGAAAATAATAACTTTCTTTTGTAATTTACTTACTTTAAAAATGATTAGGCCTTCTTCCATTGTGTTCTGTTTCTAGGAGTAGAAAATTAGGATTACGTAGAGATAGATAGAGAATGAGCTGGTAGTGTAGAATAAGTGAATTACATTAATGAAGTGTTTCCCAAGCTGCTTTGGGATTACAACATCTTTTTAAATTCACTGTTGAATGTCTGGCCATCCCTCCATTCATCCAGCATGAGTGTCTTTCTGAAGATACTGATACCTCCAAGTGTTTGTATTTTCAAAGCATCATGAGTTATTCCAATTACAGTGATAATAATCATGGTATTTTTTGGTGTGTTTGTTTTAAACTCTGTTACCTTTAGTGTGGCTTTTCAGCTTTTCTGGCCAGGCCCTTGCAGAGAAACTCACTGTGCACTTTGCTGTCATTCACATACACCACGGACCCCAGTGGAAAATCTTTCCCTTTTTGTGCCAGGCTTGTGTACCAGGACCTCACAACAACTCTTCCCACCAATGTCACAATTACGTACCAAGGTAAGAGGAAGGACCCTATATCTTTGTGGAGAGAAAGTTTCCTTGTGCTGTAATCATATTTAACATAATTTGGTCAAGTTAAACAAGCCGAGTATATAAATGTATCAGCCAGACTTTGGAACCAGTTTCCTTTGGGCACAAACGGCTCCAGGGCTGGGCAGGAACTCAGATTTTCACCAGGTTTATTGATTTTTTTTCCTCCCCTTCCTAAAGGGAAGACATAGTTCTTCCTTTCTTTGCTACCTGAATTTTGTCAGTGCTCTTGTCCCTCCTTGTCTGGTAAACCAAGACAATCATGAGAAAGTGTGCAATCATTTAAAACATGGACGCTTTTGTGGAATAGAACCAACAAGTTCCCTGGCCTAGAACTAAAAGATTATCTGGTCCAACCTCCACATTTTACAGATGAGAACACTCAGATGGGATTTGAACCCAGGTCACCTGACTCCAGCATTTGTATTTTTTCTCTGTACTACACTGCTTGGAAGGGCTCTGCCCTGCTGCTCCTCTGGGCAAGGACAGCTCTGTTCTTCTGGTTGATACAACCTAAGCAGTCATCACAAGGAGAGCAATAGGGCATAGCACCAGACATGAGATTTCATCGGGCTAGGGAATCCCTTGGTGTCAAAACTCCTCCATCCAGTGCAGCTTGGCACCTTCTTCAGGTCTTAGAGAGTTGCCAAGAGGGCGCTGAGAGGTTTAGTGCCTTGCTCAAAAGTCACACAGTCCATATATGTCAGAGGTGAGCTGTGAAACCCAGGTCTTCCTGCCTTCAAGGCTGGCTTGCTACCCACTGTACCACACTGCCTCCCAGGAACATGAAAGGAAAAACAAGGAACAAGAAGATAAAACCTGAGGCTGAAATTCTGCATCTTTCATAAAGCTTAGACTTGAATGGGCCAAGTCCTTACCTGTGATTACCTTGTCTTAAATGAATGACCTTGGGAGAGCTCCTGGAGCTGTCAACACTTGTATTTGTTTATGGTGCTAAGAATGACCAGGGCCAGGAGGGAGGCTTCCCTGGAGGAGTCATTGTTTGTACCAAACCAGACTGATGGACAGAATGTTTCCTCTTCAGGGACAGGAGCAACGCCTGCCTCGTGGGAGGACCAGCGAGCAGCCCATGAGCCTTTATTCTATAAAAATGCCCTTTATAAGGTGTTTGAGTCTTTTTTGAGAGTAAGAGAGAACTAGTGTACCCTGAAGCAGATGAACCTGTTCCTTGGAAAACACTTCAGGAATGAGCCAGAGCACAATATTGCAACCAACCCTTTGGAAATGACAACTGTTTGATGGACTCAGGCTCAGACTCGACCCTTTCCCCAGCCCAGATTTTCCTGTGCATATGAATGGCCACACCCACCTTTTCATGTGACTTACTGGGGACAAGTCTATGAGCCTTTAGATATTGACCTTTGAGGTTAAGCTGCCTTGGCCAGTGCTTGAGCAGTTCCATCCTCTTACATAGAATGGTTTGCTGAATGCTTTTTGGGCCTGATGATATTTGTTTTATATCAGCAAATGAAACAAAGCATTGAGGAGTATTCTGGTGGAGACAGAGGAGATGGCAAAATTTCACTGAACCAAGCACTGCTGCCAGTAACTCACAGAAGCTTTAGCTGACAGTATCTCATTTTCTTATGAAGATGAACAAAATGGCTTTTGAAAATGAAATTGAGATGATAAAACTACGTATGTATGTTCATCCATAACATAAACCAATGTAACCTAAGCAAATACCTTGTTTTGGTTGTGTTCAATTAGAGATTATGTGGAATAAGTAGATCAAATACTATCTTACTAGAGCACTCAGTCCATCTGTGAGAAACCCAAGTGGTAGAGAATAACTAGGGTCTGTTCCAGCCTAATCATACCCACTCTGATATTTCAGCCATCTGTACCCACAGATCCTCCCAATCCACCTCAAAAAAAATACTGCCAAGATCTTCATCCTTCTTTACCCATCTGTCCATGAACCTTGAATCCTTGTCTTAGTCCTTACTTCCCCAAGAAAACCTGGCTCTCCTTACCCTTCCAAAAAAGCCCCAGGTCCATAGGTATAGATTTCCATTGTGACCACTTGGCTGGACCCCACTGTTTCAATTCATCTCCCAGCATAACCCAGATATCAACACAAGTAGCTCCAGCCATCATTAATGAAGGATGATGACACCTGAGCTTACCTACAAGTGGCAATGTTAGATCCTAAAGAATTGAATCCAGACTAATCCAGCCTGGCTTCAGGTTCTAGAATTTACATCAACAATGAATTAACTACTGAAATTAGGAAATGACAGCCCCTGATTCTTCCTTACAGAGTCTGACTTAGGAATTATTGAAAGTATATGTTATGTTGGAGCTTTCCTTGGGCACAAAATTTGTTTAAAACTTCATGTGCATAGCCCTATAGCACACACATGGCCTCCTGATGTAGCTCTCTCTCTGTCTGAATTGTATTTGCTTCAGCAATTTTAGATTCAGGCTGTCTGGTCTGTCTTGTCCAGATCTCATGGCTCCTAGTTCTGAGTTCTTTCCACTGCATGTGAATTCTGAAATGTTAGTCTCATTTCTGGGTACGGAAGTATGCGCTAAAGTCTAATTAAGAGTTTTATATTATCTGTGTTATAGGCAGTTGAAGCTCAGTGTGGATAACTAGGAACTGATTGTAAGATATGTTCCTTCCTTGAAGGTTGTCACATCTGGTTAGGTGTTAATCATTGGTTAATGAGGGAAAGAAAAAGATTAAGCAGCATGATATGGCCATTCTTTGAGCTTTCCTAGCCCAAATCCTAATACTGAAGAAGACTGACCAGTGATTAAAAGTTAGGTTCTTGTCCATGGCTCCAGATTCCAGCTCCCAGGGATGTTTTGTCTGAGTATGTGAAGCCCTGTTTACTGGCACTCAGAAAGAAAATGGGGTTAGAAACCTCACAATAACCACACTTGGAGTTGGATAAACATTTTATTAAAACAGTCTTGTTCTTTATCACCTGTAAATTCTCTTTTAAAGCTATGCAAGGTGACTAGCAAGAGCTCAAAAGGCAAGGCAGTATTGGAAAGAAACTATTAATTAACAGAAACAGTTAAAAATATAAATGTAGAAGAATCTGTTTATATATAATCTCTTTTCTTTCTTTCGGAAATAAATTTTTCCCCTCCCCCAAGTAAAAGGAAATATTGCACTCACTCTTCCTGATCTCAAGACTAAGGTGGCAGGGATGTCTAGGAATGCCATTATGATGAACAGATCAATCGGGACTGGTCTGTTTATTCCTCTCAGACTGCAGGAAAACAAACTGGACCCTCTCTGGAACTCCGTAACATACAAAGCCTCAATCCCTCTGGTCTGTGCAGACCCCCATCAGATCTGGGTGGCCGGCCCAGTAGCAAAGACTTTTGCTCAGTCCCTGATACAAATGCTCTGCTCACAGTGGCTTTGGCCTCTCTTGGCTAGTGGGGAGGGGAGAAGCGCAGGGAGGGGAGTGCTAGGGTTCTGGAAAGGTCATTCCAGGACTACTTCTCCTTACTTTGAAGGAGAAGCTGTAAGCACACTGAGGGGTGATTGCAGGTACCCGCTGAGCTCACACTCCCAGAACAAAGGAGAAGCAGGGAGAGGCTGTATCTAAAGTCTATGTGGGAATCCATTTGGTAATTTCAGAATGTCAAGACTTAGTCATTTGTCTTTCACAAAGTAGTGCTCTGATTTCAGGAACTGCTCCTCCCATCTCTGGCTGGGTGGGAGCCACTCAGGAGTTGTCCACTACCTGGTGGGGTAGGGTGACAGAGGAGCCATTAGGGAACGGGGCTGGCTTATCCCGTCCCTTCAGGAAGAATGTCAGCAGCTCACCCTTTCCTTTGACAAAGATGGGACCACGTCTCACAAAGCGGAAACCGTATTCCCGTAGGATGGTCTGTGTATCCTCCACCACCTAGACAAGGAGGAATGGTACATAGGAAAGTGTATGGGGTAGGAAAATGAACCTAGATTGAAGCTGTTTGTGCTGGACAACAAGGGACTCCAGAATTAGCTGATGAGACAAGAACAAAGGCTATTCTACCACTTACACCTACGTGACTTTGGTAAGTCAACCTCTCTAGTCCTCAGATTCTTCATCTGTGCACAACCTCTTACCCCACCCTCCCTGTGACATCTTCCTTCAAAGTTGCTCTTGATTATGAGATGGAAAGTACCTTAGGTCCAATTTAGTTCAACCCCCTAATTTTGCAGATGAAGAATTTAAAGGTCAAAGAGTGATACAGTAAGTGGCTGGGCCCAGATTCAAACCTAGATCCTCTTAACTCCAAATTCTTTACTCATTCCAATGTGCCATGCTGATTTCACCTGGATCCAGATGTTATTGGTGGAGGGGAGCTGCAAGAAGGCAGGGGCTTCTCACAGAAGACCTGGATCGAGGTCTCTAGCCTCCTCTGCTAATTAAATGGTATCTAAAAGGAAAGGCTCTGATCATGGCAACCCTATAGCCACTCGGGTCTGGAGTGAATGCAGGGGAATGAATGCTGGGCTGGCAAAATAGCTTGGTCTGGTATGAGTGAGCTGGCTTCCCTGGCCGCGGGTTTCTGTAACTCTGATACCTGAACCCTTGGGACACATACCTGGATGTTGCCCATGACACCTGTTGACTCCATCCTACTGGCCACATTGACAGTATTCCCCCAAATGTCATAGTGTGGTTTTCGGGCTCCTATGACCCCAGCCAGTACTCCTCCTTTGTTCATACCTGTGAAAAAAGTAGAAGAAATATGAAAGGTTCAGCATTACCTGTTGTAAATTGCTCACATTTACATAGTGATTTAAGGTTTACATAATGCCTTTCTTATGATAATGGGTCTAATCCCCAACTTAGCTTTTAAAACCCTACACCACCTGGCTCCTGTTTACCTTTCTAGCCTCGTTGGCCATTTCCTACCATCCCTCAGAGATCCAGCCAGACTGGCCTCTTTTCCTCACACACCCCCTTCATCTCTTGTCTCCATGCTTTTGCACTGTACTGTCCACATTTCTGGAATGCACTCCCTTCTTCCTTCTATCTCCCTCTCTTGCTATAAGAAGCTTTAAGCACCATGTATCTGCATGATGCCTTTCAGGATTTCCCCAATTGCCAGCGTCCGCCCCTCCCTCCCTAACCACCTTATATTTCTATTACTTTGTATATATGTCCTTCTTGCCTCATCCAGGAAATACTGTTCTATTTTTTTATACTTGTATCCGCAGTGTCACATAATTGGCACTTAATCAGGAAGAGTGTACTGATTGGTTAATGCCCTGAAAAAATGGAAGCCGTGTCTCTTGGACATGTATTATCTACTCTTACCATTGCCCAAAAGTTTCTGTTTTGATACTGTGCTCTCATCTTTCCTGTTTCAGAGGAAAAGGTTCCTCCCTTCCTAACTTTATACCCACCATTGCTATCTGAAAACAACCCCTTCACCTGTGCCCTGATCTTCATCCCTTCCCTACTCCAATGGCACTTCATTCTCACTCCTACCCCCTCTGTGATATTTTAAATCTCTCCATCTCCACTGGTTCCTTTTCTGTTGCACTGTCTGCTTTCTTTATCCCTGCACCATGGGAGGAAGAGGGGGATATGGAATTACACAAGTATTTGAAGATAGTATGTGGCAAGCATGTGCTAAGTGTTGGGGATACAAAAAAAAGGCAAAAACAGTTCCTACCCTCAAGGAGCTTACAAGCTAAATAAATAATATGTAGATATGTGTTTATATATATATGTATATATTATATATGTATATACATACACACACACATGCATATACATATACACAGAGAGAGAGCATGCTATCTTAAAACCTCTTGCTTTTGGAGGTCCATGATTTCATAACTTAAGTGTTCCCTCCACTGATGGTAAGGCTTCCTTCCCCACTCTTCTACATCCCCCACCCCAGACAGGTCATTTCATCCCAATTCATGTTATTCCTGGAGAATCTACCCATTATCCTGGAGGCCTTTTAATTCTTTTATTATTAGGGATGCCAGTGTTCCTCCTCTCATTCTTGAGAGAAGACCAGCCTCTTCTGGTCACTCAGACATCTAACGACCACATGAGTAGTCAATGGCAATATGAAGCCTGCTTCTATATACTATGCATTTTTATCAGTTACCCTTCGGGTTATTTGTAACTTAAATTCTTTTTTTTTTTTTTTTTTTTTTTTACAAATTTATAATTTGTAACTTAAATTCTTGTGGGGCTTTTCTGATTATCAGCTATATTGCATCTATGAGAAGACATTAGTGTTGAAGAGATAGGTTTTTGAGCATCAGGCATCTTAGAATCTTTGAAAGCACTAGTTTCCCAAATGTTCCTCAGTTCTAGATCCCATTCACTGCCCATCCTCAATATCTGCCTTAGACACACATATTGACAAACTAACTCAATCAGTTTTGTAACATAGGCTGCATTTTTTTTTAGACACTTTGAACCAACTATGTATGCTAGAAAAATCTGTTTTCCATTGCTATGCATTTCACTGAGGATTTTGTAATTTTCTCATAGACTTGAGGTCAGGAACTGTTTCATTTTGGTCTTCATATTGCCAGCACACATAGCAGGTACTTAATAAATGCTTATTGACTGATTGCTGGATTCCCCTTGCCATCAAACACGGCTAGGTTTCCTAGGTGTCCTTAAAAAAGAAAACAACTCTCAGAATAAATGTCCCCACCATCTTTCCTTTCTCAAACATGTCATCTGTTGTCTTCATTTCCTTTCTACTTGTTTCCTCCTTCACTCTACTGTCTGGCTTCTGTTGCTACAATTCCATTGATCATTCTTCCTTAAAGGAAGGAATGATTTTTGTTAATTCTGGTAGGCTTCCTTTCACTTCTCTGCAAACAAAACTGATTACCCTCCCCTTAACCCACTCTTCTCCTTTACCTATAGGGTACCACATGCTATACTATAGTCATTTTCACTGACCTCCTTGTACCCCATTCTGTCCAATCCATTCCGTACCATAGTTATATGAATCTTCCTTAAATATTGTTTTCTGCTTAAGAACCTACAGTGGCTCCCCATTTCCACTCCATTCTTGTCTAAACTTTACTGTCTGGCTTCAAAGATTTTCTATAGACTGGC